CACAAAATTTTGAGCATAAAAACTGGTATGACTATAAAATTCAAAAATTCAATTTATGAGTAGTGGTCAACAATGGTCAGAAGTGGTCAACAATGGTCAGTAGTGAACTGAACTAACTTAATTATGCACTGAATTAACTTAATTGTGAACTGAATTAACTTATTTGTACACTGAATTAACTTAATTGTGCTCAATTAAGTTAATTCAGTTCACTACTGACCATTGTTGACCACTACTGACCACTACTCATAAATTGAATTTTTGAATTTTATAGTCATACCAGTTTTTATGCTCAAAATTTTGTGTGTGTGAGATTTTTAAGTTTAAGTTTCAACGGTCGTTTCGGACTCTCAAAGCAATAGCCTGAGTACAGTATAAGTTAAATTCAAAAACTTATTTTTTAGATAATTTTAAACTTTTTCGTAGTCTTTGTGTCAATGAAAGTGATATTTTATCTGATGATTTGATAACAGTTGATAAGAATTGATAGAAAAATGTGTTTTCATTAGATTTCAGTCTATTTAATGTTTTGTCAAATTCTCTGCCATTCTTAAGAATATTCCTATCGATAGACCACTCGTTATATTTGTGTAACACTTCACTACATTCCGGACGTTTAGTCCAATTATGCAAAATCATTGCCGATAATAGTTTGTATAATTCGGACACTTGTGCATTAAGATTTTTATTTGATGAATATGATTTTGAGCTAGATCACAAAAAATTGAGTTTTATTAACATATTTGAATTTACAATATTATACTGTAATAGCGTAATATTGTCTATAAATACCTTTGTGGTTCAATAAGTACAACATCCACGTCAAATAACTCACCACCGATTAGTGCCAGGCTATAAATATCTGATTTATGTCCATATTTTCTACCCCGAACAATTTCCGGAGCTTGATATCTCATGTCACCGATATCTGCCGTATGTTTGTGTTTAGTTATGTAATGAATGCGTTTGTCGTGAAATGTAGCCAAACCGAAGTCACATAATTTCAAAAACCTGCCGTTCCTTACGTTGTGTGCAATCAATATATTGTCGGGTTTGAGGTCTCTGTGAATGATCTGTGGATTCAATTTATGTAAATATTGAACGCTTTCTAAGATCTGTCTAAATATTTCACACGAAACGAAATACTCGTATAAATCCATGGGATCTCCCGATTGTCTCTTAAATACTTGTGACTTAACTTTGAGAATATTCTGTAAATTCTGTGAACAGAACTCCATTTGAATGTAAAAATATTGCGGTTCACGCCATGAGTGGTAATATTGGACCACATATTGTGAGCTCACGTTTTCTAAATTCTGTACTTCTTTTAATACACTTTCGGTTTCTTTTTTGTCAAAATCTAAGAAAAATTCAATAATTTAGTATATATACTGTATATTGAAGTTGATAAATCAGCTGGATTTCATTTCAAGTTTAAATTACCTTTAAATTCAATGCGTTTGACGGCAAATACCTGTCCATCATATTTGTGTTTCACTCGCAATACTGTCCCAAAACCACCCGATCCTATGACCGACAACTCATTAAATGTTTTATCATAACATTCATTAAAGCAACTTTTATAATCTATTATAACTGTTTTGTATGTGATTTGATATTTATTAGCGTAGAAATCAATAAAATTATTATAATTTGTTTCAATCAATTGATATCCGATTATTTCATATAACTTGCTGTTTGTTAACACAACTGTGGATTGTTTATAAAAATAACAAAATGAGTCAATTTGTCTTAAATCTATAAAATAATTGCTAGTTTTCAATCGTTTTGGTATTACTTCACTTGAATAAGATCCACAAAAATATATAAAACCACTGTTTGACAGAAAATATGTCATAGATAGTGATGAAGTAATAGTTTTGATGTCATTTATAGTAGATATGAGTTTCGGACTAAATATAGAGTCGTGTACTTTGTGTCCCAATTGATGGTAACTATTGCGACCCCAACTAAATACAAGTCCGGCACAAGTGATGGCAAATGAACACCAATTATAGCAATAAATTGATTGTATTTTGGGATTATTAGGGAATTGTATTAGAATTGGTTCACTAATACTAACATTTCTTTGGTCCTCACAACCAATCTCTCCGTATTCATTACATCCCCACCCATACACCTGTCCATTGGATGTGAGGGCCAGTGAGTGATGACCACCACAACTGATTTGTTGGACATCTTTGTCGTCGAAAAACGATATTCTCTCGGGTTTTGAATAAACCTTTTCTTGTGTCACATCTCTACCCAACTGTCCCCACACATAGCGACCCCAACTATGGATATGGTTAACACTATTCATAGCCAACACAAAGTCATATCCAGTAATAAATGTCTGAATCTTTTGATGACATAATTGTGGTATAAGTTGTGGTGATTGTATGGACTTGTTGTGACCCAATCCAAGACATCCATAACTATTATCTCCCAACCCATACACCATATCATCTGTGGTTACGAATAGTATATTATGTTTTAATTTATTATCCAAAAACACTGTTCGTCTAAAAACATGAAATAATTTAATGTTTTGTTTCATATATGAGTCGATTTTATCACAAATTTTAAATTTCTCTAAATTTGAACACATTTTCAAATTTAAAACAAAATTGAATTTATATTAAAAATATTTATTTTATGTTTATTGAAAAACAAATAGATTTATTACTTTAATACAAATTAATCAGATGTTAAATACTGTTTTCACAAATCACATAAAATAACAAAATAATTATGAATATAAAATTTCAAATTAATAAAACTAATAATTTATTAAGTAAATTATTTTTAAAACTAATTTTATTTTTACTTTACTGAACAGTATTGTAATAAATGAATGCAATTGTTGTTCACAAATAGATTGTGTTATTATATCAACAGATATGCAATCAATTCACTCGTATTGTCATAAATAGTGTCATAAATACCAATCCACTGTATATTATATGCAATTCCTTTGTTAAACCTTTGAATCCAGAGATATAAATTATAAGATAATATAAGTTATAATTTATAACTAAAGAGGACTGGAAGGACAGGTTATAAATCACTATTAATTTTTAAGATGTTTAAGACATGGTATCGATAATTAAGTGTGATTTAGTGACATCCCTGAGCGCACATTATCTGAGGGTCGGCTATATAATGAAAGGCCGCATCAAAGCCACCGAACTGTGTATTCAACAAACACTTCATTTTCATTGTCATTATTCTTATCCATGTCTCAACTCTTGTATTAAAACTATGTTTGTTATAAATTATAGGTTTTGATGTGATTTTTGTTATATATTTATGATTTTTTTGTAAATGATATGAGTTGTGCTGTAAGAACACAATTAATTACATGTATGTGTCATATAATTATGATTTAAAACTCACTGAAATGGATACATGATTTATTACTAGTAATCTGTTGATCACTGACAGTATAATCACAAATAACTGGTATATCTTGTGGTAAACTTTGGCCCTTAAGAATAGTCTCAATTTGAGATTCTATTGAATTCATATTATATATAAATTCTTGATTCTGTATTTTTTGCATAAAAACTTATTTTTCAATATATGTGTCTCACTTCGGACATCATTGCAAAAACTAATACAAAACACAGAATAAAACAATTAATGAACTATTTGTTAGTTACCAACGGAACTATAATTAAATGAATTTCAAAAGTATTTACGAAACTATAAATTCTCGTTCAATAATTCAAAGGTTTTTATAGAAGAATATTATGGACTATATTATATAATTTATATCTTATTAATAGAGAATTAAATAAAATAACATTATAAACTATACAATTTTATTATAATTGAAATATTTTCTAAATTAAAAATTAAACAAAAATTATATTATATAATATTTAATCATCAGTAAATTAACATTATTTAATCAAGATTAAATATTAATATATTTGTTAACGACTACCAGCCATTTGGTGTGTTATCGGTTGAACACAACGGAGTTCCCAAACACTCTCACGACTGCCTATGTCTTACTGTATTAGT